AGATTTTAGGACAAATAAGGCCTGGTCTCTTCCTTGCCTAGTTATTTTTTTTCTTCTGCTGACTTTAGGTTTAATTTGTTCTTTTCTGGTTTCTTGAGGCGGAAACTGAGGTCACTGATTTGAGACCTCTGTTTTCTGATGCAGGCACTCCCTTCTAAGGACTGCTTTGGCTGTACCCCCCAGGCTTTGATGTATTGTGCTTTCACAGCATTCCAAATACTTTCCAGTTTCTCTTTTGATTTTCTCTTTGACTCATGGATTATTTAGAATTGTATTATTTCATTTCTAAATGTTGAGGTATTTTCTGGATATCTTCCCATTATTGATTTCTAATACAATTCCACTGTTGAATCCTTTTAAATTTCATGAGACTTGTTTTATGGGCCAGAATATGTTGTGTGTGTGCTTGAAAAGAATGTGCATTTTAGTCTTGCTGGGTGGAATGTTGTTATATAAAGGCCAATTAGGTCAAGTTGGTTGATAGACAGTGTTGTTCAAGTTTTGTGTGTCCTTACTGATTTTCTGTCTGCTTCTCTATCATTTACTGAGAGAAGGGTGTTAAGATCTGACTATAATTGTGGATTTGTCTCCTTTTCCTCACAGTTCTGTTGGATTTTGTCACGTGTTTTGAAGCTCTATAATATGGTACAACAACATTTCGGATTGTTGTATCCATTCTTTTACTTTTAACCTGCTTGTATCTTAAAAGTGTGTTTCTTATAGGTGACAGATAGCTGGATCTTGCTTTTTTTAATCCAACCTGACCATCCCTACCTTTGAATTGAGATGTTTAAACCGCGTACATCTACTGTGTTGATAGGGTCGGGTTAAAATCTGCCGCCCCCCTGTGTGTTCTCTGTGTGCCATCTGTTCTGCTTTCATTTCTCTCCTCCTGGCCTTTGTGCTGTGGTTCTCATACATTTTTACTTCTATATTTGTTCTAAACCCACAATACATTATTTTATTTTATTTTTGCTTTAAACAGTCACTTACCTTCGAAAGAGATTTAAATAAAAGGAAAAAGTTCTCTATTTACCCACACAGTTACCATTTCTTGTGCTCATCATTCCTGTCATTCCATCCCTCATCCGGTGTCATTTCCTTTCTATCTGAAGGACTCCTTTAACATTTCTTGTAATGCAGATCTGCTGCTGATCAATTCTTTCCGCTTTTGTAAGTCTGAAAAGTCTTCTTTTTGCCTTCCTTTTGGAAGGTATTTTTCTAGGTATAAAATTCTGGGTTAACAGTTTCTGGTGGAAAGTCCCCTGCCATTCTGATTTTTCTTCTTCTGTGTGTCATGGGTCTTTTTCTCTAGCTGCTTTTAATAAAAATTTTTCTCTTTATCACTAGTTTTCAGAAATTTAACTGTGATGTTTCAATAAATTTGGGGAAAATCTCTCCATTATTGTATTTCTTTAAATATTTTTTGTCTCCACCTTCATGAACTCCAGTTGAGTCACGTTAGTTAGTGGTTGTCCCACAGCTCACTGATGCTCTGTCCATTTTTTTTCTATTGTTTTGTTTTTTTCTCTGTGTTTCATTTTGGAAAGTTTCTACTGCCATGTCTTCAAGTTCGTTCACCTTTTTTTCTGCATTCTCTAAGTATAAAACCACCTAGTGTATTTTTCATCTCAGCCATTGTCGTTTATCTAGAGTATCTGCAGTGTCTGTAACATGCTTGGTCTTTCCGTTAGCTGCTTGAGAGTGTGGGATACACGTGACTTTTAATATCCTTGAGTACTAATGCTATCAAACATGCCATTTCTGGGTCAGTTTCAACAGATTGATTTCTATTCTCATCACAAGTCATCTTTCCCTGCTTTACACTGCTGTTAATTTTTTATAGGGTTTTATCTTGGGTATATTTGTATTCCTATAAACATTCTTGAGCTTTACTCTGGGATACAGTTATTTGGAAGCAGTTTGAGCCTTTCGGGGCCCGCTTTCTAAAGCTTTGTTAGTCAGGCAAGAACAGCATTTAGTCTAGGGCCAGTTTTGCCCCACTATTATGGCAAAACCCTCTGAGTACCCTTCCTGAACCTTCCCGTATTATGAGGTTTTCCACACTGGCTGGTGGGAACAGGAACTATTCTCAGCCCTGTGATGCCTTTGGACTGTGATTTCCCCACCCTCAAGCAGTTTCCTCTCAGTCACGTGCTGTGATGCTTGGGGGCCCTCAGCAGATCTCCAGAGCTCGCTTTCTGTGCAGCTCTGTCTTCTCTGGTACTCTGTCCTGCAAACCCTGGCTGTCCTGGCCTCCCAGCTCCTTCTCTTCGACAGGAGGAGACAGCTGGGCTCTGCTGGTTACCCATCCGCTGCACCGGAGCCTGGAAACTCCAGGTAGGAAGCTGGGGGTATGAGGGGCTCGTTTGTATAGATATCTCAGGAGTCACTACCCTTCATTGCCTAATGTTCAACACCTGGAAAACCATTGTTTCTTACATTTTGTCTGGACGTTTAGTTGTTATAGGCAGGAAGGTGAATTGGTTCCTGTCAGTCCATCGTGGCTGGCACCCGCTGAGTTCATAACTCAGTTCTGTAGTATGGAGGAGTCCATGAAGTGAAAAGCCAGTGACCTACTGAATGAGAGGTTCCTCTCATGTTTGCAGAGGGAGGCCCGAAACATCACCATCTCCCCCAGTTCACCAGATTTTCAATGCCTAAAAAAAAAGATTAATTTTCATTAAAGGATTAGTTATTTACTTAGGGATTTTAGCCCTGAACTGGCTCTTCTTTAGTATTAAAACTGTTCAGTTCTGTGAACTCACAATCATTTTTCTAGATAAAATGGCGAAGATGTACTCTTCTAAGAGCGTCATACATTATTTAATTTAGCCTGTAGCCAACTCTGCGAAGTAACAATACGATTCTTTTACTAGCCCCATTTGGCTCATAAGGATGTTTAATGCACAGAGAGCTAAAGTAACTTGACCAAGATCACACAGCCAGTGAGTGATGGCCAGGATTGAACCTGGGATCTGGCTCCAAAAACTAGACATTTAATCGACACACAAAACTACTCCTAGGTAAAGTTGTTCTGTATATCCAGTGAGAGGGCAACCGATGCAGGCTCCTGAGCTTGCTTGTCTTTTTTTTTTTTTAATATTATTTTATTGAAGTATAGTCAGTTTATAATGTGTCCGTTTCTGATGTACAGCATAATGCTTCAGTCATACATGAACATATGTATATTTGTTTTCATATTCTTTTTCACCATAGGTTATTATAAGATATTGAGTATAGTTCCCTGTACTATACAGTATGAATTTGTTTATATCAGCTTTCAAACAAGCAGGGCTGTCTTGCTTTCCCTTCTCATGTTTTCTTTTTAAATAATTACTGTGTGTATGCATATATGCATGCCTGGTCATACATGCTTATGATTTGGTTTCACAAGGTAAAAGAGGATATTCAGTGAAAATAAATCTCCCATCTACCTCTCTCCCATCAAACCCCAAGTGCTCCCCTGCCCCAAACCATCCCATCAATCTTAGTGCATCTTTCCAGAGAGATTCTGCACGTATACAGGCTTAGGAAGAAATGGCAGCATGCTATCCCCTTTGTTCTGCACCTTGGTTTTTCCATCTAACAGGATATTTTTAGTCATTCCATAGTAATAGATGCAGGGCTGCCGCTTTTGGGGGGATGGGGTGGGAGTGGGAGGTAAGTTTGTTTAATTATTTTTTTAAATGGAGGTACTAGGGATTGGACCTAGGATCTCATGCATGCTAAGCACCACTTGAGCTCTGCCCCCCACCTTACTTCTTTTGACAGCTGCCTAGAACGCCGTTGTGTGGTTGTGCCTTAATTAACAACCCACTTCCCTTTAAAGAACTTTAAATTATTTCCAAATTTGTGCTGTTATAAATCAGGCTTGCAAAAAAACCTTATGTTTTATCACATGTATGTATAACATATATATCATATATGTATGTGTGATTTCTCACATGTGCAAGTATATGTGCAGGGTAAATTGCTAAAAGTAGAATTGCTATTAGAGGCTTTCTGTTTTTGTCACGTTGGTAGCAGTGACTATTTTGCTCTCCAGAGAGATTGTACTGATTTACACTCACAGCAGTGTATGAGGGTGTGTGTTTCCCCATACGCTCCCCAACACAGACTATCAAACTTTTCCCGTGCTGTTTGTTTTTAAAATAGTGATTATGAATACTGTATCAAAGAGTTACCTTTGTGAAGGTAACTGGACACTGCATTTGTCTGTTAGTAAATTAAGAAACAAATGACCAAAGATTAACTCCCTTTTATTCGTGATCGTTTACTCAGTTCAGTCTACAGACTTCACCTGTGCCTCGCTCTGGGTACTAGGGGTAGAAAGATCTGTGACTTTCTTCAGATCCCTGTCCCCAAGCAGCTCATGGTGTAGGAGACATGGAGGAGAAGCAGCTCTGAGATGGCGTACATTATGTGACACGCAGTTGCAGAGAACGGGATAATGGAACAAGGAAAGTGTTACTAGATGTCCTCGGAAGTGTTGCCAGGGTCTCTTGATGGTGTTAAACTTGATAGTGAATGTCATCCCGGAAGCAGCCTGGTGGAGAGGAGGAAGTTGGGTTCCGCCGGACCGGCCAGCCCAAGGTGGATTCTGTGAGACTGGAAGCCCCTCTGGAGGTTGCCGCGGGCACCTCCCTGCAGAACTGCCGGCCGCCTGCAGGGAATTGGCCGGCTGTGATTGGAGGGGTGTTGCTGGTGGGGATAAAGAACTCGGTAGTGTCGGCAGAGGTGATTGGCCGCGCCCTGCTGCAGTGAGAATGCAGGCTGGATGCTCGGGTCCTCGCTTATGTGATGCTCATTAGTTGAGCGAGGACAGCTGAATAATTGGGCACTCGAAGTTGCTTCTGCCTCCGGGAGAGGTCTGTTGGGCTATTTCTTTTCCTTTTTTTTTTTAAAAACAAAACGTTTGATTACCATCCACCTGCAAAAGTGAGTTTTTATTGAAGAAGCTCCAGCTGCTCTCTCACTGCCAGCAACCCGGCCGGGCTCTCGGAGTGAGCTAGCTGCTTCTCAGGCCAGGCACGACAGCAGTGCTAGCAAATTTGAGAAAGCAGGAAACAGCCACTGCATGCAGAGCTGCCAGCCTTACAACTCCCCTGGCTAGTCTTCCCAGCAGCTGTGTAGCCAGAGACTCTTGGTACCGTGGTCACATCCCTCCTCAAAAGTGAACGGTCACCGTTGGCGACATTGGGAGGAAGCCGTGATGTTGCAGATGCTGTGGCATTTTCTGTCTAGCTTCTTCCCAAGGGCTGGGTGCCAAGGATCCAGAGAGGGGAGTGATAACGAAGTCACAGGCACCCCGGCTCCAGCTCGGGGAGACCAGATGCCAAGCTTTTTGGGGAAACAGAACGGAAGGGCTGAGGCCACGGAAAGGAGACCCACCATTTTGCTGGTGGTCGGACCTGCAGAGCAGTTTCCTAAGGTAATGGCTATATCAAGAGGACCTTCTAGTTCAGGGGCTTGCCTGGGATCATTTTCCTGGAAAAAGCTGGAGTGTGGGGAGGAAGAGAGGACCTACGAATGAATCAGTTTGGTGCAGGGGGCTGGGGAGAAGTTAGACAAAGGAGAAGCCCAGCTCCAGTCCAGAATCTTCCTGTGGCCACTGCACAAGCTTTATTACCCTGTTGTGACCACTTCAGTGTGGCTTTTTGAGGAAGGAAGTTTGAATGCAGTTGAAGATTTTCCTTAGGATTTGTCACTTTGGCCCCAGAAAGCCATTCGGAGGGAAGGGACAGACAATTACAGCATGTCTTAGATCTTAGTGTACTTGAACAGCGCGGGGAGGACTCAGCTCAGCGGGCAACAGAGTAAACCTCCAAAGGTGAACCCAGCTTCCAGGAGCTGCGGAGGGCTGGCCTGTCCTCCATCCCGAAGGTCAGACCCTTGGCCTTGGTCTTACCTTTCGGTCTGGGAGGAAGGGAGTGATGGCGTAGCATTGAGGCTGGAGTCTCAGTGTGCAGAGGCCTGCATTCCTTGCATGTCTGAAGGTCCTCACGAGAGCCAAGGTAAGGGTAGTTATCCCCATTTCACAGATGAGGAAATTGAGGTGCAGAAAGGTTAAGTAATTTGCCCAGGATTAAACAGTTACGAAGGGGTGGAGGTGAGATTTCAATCCTAATTCATCTAGGACTTTGCCTGTACTGCCTCCCTTTCCCTTAAGAAAGCCGTTTTTAACGGAACCAGTTGAATTCTTAGGATTCGAACAGAAAGGCTCTTTGGCTGAGATCTCTCCTGCCTATGGTTAGGAGTACCCTGTTCACCTCTCCTGAGCTTGCATTAGTTTGAATCTTTTCTCCTTTCTCAGGATGAAAATCAACTGGAGAAGGGGAGGAGATTCTGCCCTGTGTCTGGTGCACTGTGGAGTCTGGAAAAGGCTCTGCTGAACTGAGTTGCTACATTTAGGAAACAAATGTTCAGTTTTCCTTTGCTAAGGGGGACTTCTTATGCAGCAACTTCTGCAGTGGTTTCGGGTTAAGCATTGAGGAGAATCCTTGGTCCATGATGGGCTGGTCCGGGACGCAGGGAGTCTGTATTGTGCCTGAGATGTGCTTCAACAGGTGTCGCTTTCTACCTTTCGATCATTTTAGAGGAGGTCGGAAATGGTGGTGGCACTGTGTTTTGTGAGGATCTTTTATCTACAGACCTGCTGGCCTTATGACCAAGGGTTTAGGCATTGGCTAGCTCCCTTTTAAGTTCACCTACTTTTGACTTTAATAATTAACTGCTCCATTTCCCAGAGTCACACCGACTGGCACCTCTTGCCAGCCCTCCACCTCCCCGACTCCGCTCCTCTGGGCTGGCCTGGCACCAGGACTTTCTGTTCTGAACAGTCCTGGCCTGCAGAATCGGGAGCAATGCAGGCTGAACCGGAGACCCTGGCACTTTTCCCCAAGAGAGAGACGGATCAGTTGGCTAGGGGTTGGGGAGCCCCAAGAGGGAGATGGGTCAGCCGGTTTGGTTTGAAGTAAGCAAGAAAGCACATCTGGGCGGTGTGGGCGCTTTCAAAGCTGATAAACTAAAAATTGGACTAGAGTGTTTCAGCAGCATTTGTGCTTCTCCAGTGCAGCTGCTCTTGAAGGTGGGGGTTGAGGCTTGTGATCGCTGGCCGCTGGGGCCTGGCCTCGCCGTTTCTCTCAGGAAGGGGCTTCCACTGCATTCTGGAAACCTCATAGAGATGTTCGTGTTGGTTCTCAGGCCTTTCAGTTTCCCAGCCGCACTACTTTGTTTTACTCTCACTTCCGTCTTTTAAATATGTCTACTAGTGAGTCGGGTTCCTGCAAGTTTTCATTCTAGGAACTGTTCCAGTATTTCCCTTTATCTTTGTCTTACAGTTGATCTGCAGTTGGAGAAGAGAGCCATTAGTCTGGAGTGGGAGGTGCCCTCAGCGGCATTCAAGCTTTCAAATCCCGAGGGGCCGTCTTCTCAGAAGCTCAGAGAATTTTGCTCATTGTGTGTCTAATTGCCAAGTGTAGGCAGGTTTCATTGGAAACCAGCTACACTGGGCTGTCATGGCAACCTGATCATCAAATGACACTGCGGCCACAGCAGCAAATGAGGTTCGAGCACCTTATGGGTGGGCGGGGCCGGAACAGCCGGATGCTGGCAGGGCTCCTTCACATATTAATATTTTGGGCTTGGTCTGAGTCATTGTAGAGGAGGGGGGGAAATACTTTCTGAGCTAATGCTACGCTCCCAAAGGTGCTCTACCTGCCCTGTCCTTACGGTATTCCAGCACTTACAGGAAGTACCTGTTTCTTTGGCGTGAAACAGAGTGGTAGAACGAGGAAAGCTTGTGAGGTGGGGCACTGGCAAATCTGAGGGGGGAAGGTGCTTGTGGGAGGAGCTGCTTTACAGATGAAGCGAAATCTAATGCCATTCAATTCTAAGGGACCCTGGAGTAGCTGTCATTGTTTCTGAGTACTAGCTGCTGTAGGAATGGGCATCGAAAGAGAGGAAACAAAAGTAGATCTGGGTCACAAAATTAGAACAGGTAAAGAGAGCAGAGAAGAAGCTTACACAGCAGGAGCGGGAGAGGAAGCACGTTTTGTAGGGGTCTTGAAGCACCAGGAGCTGGTGTGAAACATCAGGGATGGAACACAAGCCTGGCTTTAGTCTTCTTCCTTATTTGTATTTCTCACGTATGTGTTCAGAGCTGTAACAGATACAGTTTTTTGTGGGTGTTTTTATTTTTGTTTTTTTGCGAAGGCTAGCTGAACTTGCTCCACCACACCTGCCGCCTTCCAGTCTGAGGTACCACTCACTGTAATTCTCAGGGCCAGGCTGGCAACTGTTCTTAGAAACTGCTTTCTAAAATCTTTTTGGTAAGTGTCAGGTTTGGTGCTGTTTTAAGTGGTTGTTGTAACAAGAGCCGGGCCCTGGGTGAGCCTCAGCTCTGCTGCCAACCGGCTCTGGGGTCTGGGCAAACCAGGTAGCCTCCTCTGGTCTGTTTGCTCATCTCAGAGATTGAGAGATGACCCCTGGGCCCCTCTGGGGCCCAGTGTCTGTAATTCCAGGGATGGAGCATTTCGTGGGACACCAGGTGCCTCAGGATTGGCTCTCCTGAGAAGTGCCAGTTTCTGTGTGAGAACAGAGTTCTGCATGACCTTTGAAACTCAGGAGGACTGGTGGTTGAAATAAATAAGCAAATGCCAGTTTATGTTTGTTCAATGAAGACATTCTGTTAGACTCAGTCACAGTTGCAAAATAAAATTACGTTGGAGCCCTTTTTCAAAATTAACATTGGAATAGAATTAACGTTAGTGTTGTAAAATAACATCTTGACAGGCACGTGCAGAACTTTTCAGAGAACGTTTCCTGACGTTGTGATACCACTAGTCTGTAATGAGCTTTGTTATAAATAAGGAGATTCCATTCTTTTTTTTGCTCTAGAAGATAGCTGCCCTTATTTGATAATGCTTTAATCATTTTTCTTTATAAATTGAATATCGATTTCACTTCCATTTGGTATTTTCAGATCTCTTCTCAGATGTCTTGTAATACAGCATAAAACTCAGTGGTACAAAAATAACCTCAATGGTACAGTTACGTTTACCAAAATTATTTGAAAACTATAGTGTATTAGGAAATGAACATCTCCAGTTGAACAACTTACTTATTCAGTCAAAATATTTGCCATTTTGTAGGCAAATATGGAAAGATTGTAGTCATCGTTGAAATGACTTCAGGCACTTCAACAGATCTGTGTAATTTATTTCTGTTTCAGAAGCAAACATGAATAATTTAACAAAGGAAGCTCAGCATTTTATTTTATTTATTTATTTAAATGGGGATTGAACCGAGGACCTTGTGCATGCTAAGCATGTGCTCTACCACTGAGTATTCCCTGCCATCGGAAGATGAGCACTTTAAAAATTCAGCTCTTTTATTTATAAATGTGAACTTTCTTTGAAATAAGAGTAACAGTACAGTATCTTGTTGAGGTGGACAAAATACCCTGAAGATTCTGTTTGTAGACACTTGGAAAAACAAACCTAATGTCTTCATCAAAAGTGATCATGTTTGTTTTTCGGGGTCTTAGAGCCCTGCCAAGCATGTTCATTCATTCAGAAACTGCTTTTATCCAGCACCTTCCATGATCAAAGCAAAAGCAAGGAAGTACAAAGGTCCATGATCAAATTCCAGGCAAGGAGGTACAAAGGTCCTGCCTTCAAAGACCCCAACAGTAGAGGTAAGATGTATGTAAAAATAGCCCCAAAGCAGAACGTTCTGGATTGAGTGGCTTAAGAGACAACTGAGTGTTGTGGGTTTAGGTGGAGGCTGAGCAGGAATCTGCCTGGATAATCCTGTGTTGCCTCTGGATACCTCATCAGTTCCACCCTAGGGGACGGAGGAAACAGCCCAAGACCTGTTTTCACAGAGTCATCTTCAGATCTCATTTAGAAGGGCGGAAATGTCATATAAGTTATTAAAATCTGTTTCATGATGTTGTACATAAGCATCAGCATCTTATTTTTGGAACTTTTTTCAAGTTCTTAACAAAAAGCTCTTTAGTGAATTAAGAAATTCCTTTTAAAACTTTTGTGGATCCCCAAATGATAACGATCTGTTTTTAATCCATCCCAATGGTGAGGTTTTGTCTATATTAGGAAGTGGTACACTATAGAAGGAACAAGGCGAGACGGATGCCTTTTTCATCTCTGTGACGTGGTCTCTTCCTCTGCAGCACGGATCTGACACTTTCTGTGGGAAGGAATGAGGTGGAGACAGCAGGCTGGCCCTTAAATAGAGCTCAGGTCTTGACTTTCTAGGACCCATGTGGCCATGAGACTGAGGAAATGAATTTTTAGTTTCATTTAATTTTAATTAATTTAAAATGGAAAAACTTCTGTATCGAGCAGCAGAGTCCTAGGCCAGGAAGCTACGGTTCCACTGAACTTTGAAGTGGTCTGAGTGAATGTGGGCTCTGAAGACTACGTCTGGGGGTCTCAAGTGAGGTTGGGCTTGAGATCGGTGCTCCTGAGGCGTCTGTCCCCCAGCACAATTACCTTTAGCCCAGAGTGTCCTCTTCCTGCCCCCACCCTGCCACCTCAGTGCCTGTGGGGTCCCCAGGTGAAGCCTGCAGGGGACGGGGTGCTCACATGCAGAGTGGCCTGGGGAAGGTCACTGGAGCCGGCCGGAACTGTGCCCGAAGGCTGTGCGGCCAAGGCAGCCAAGTCCAGGGCTCACCGGCTCAAGGGCAGCTCCCCTGGGGATGAATGAGCCCCACTGAGGGGCTGCTTCTAAGATGCCCCCCACCTTACCACCCCCACAGACTTCTACCCTCACAGCTAAACTAGGCCCAGTTCAGCAAGCTGTGATTCAATCTCATTCAATCTCTCATACTTTTCTGTTGGGAATGACTTACTAAGGGGAGAAACCATTGTACTGTGTGACGCGTTTGGGGACCTTGTGGAAAAACAGGCCAGAGGCTGTTTGTTTGGAGGGCTTGGCTGGCAGCCAGCGGGTGAAGGTTTTGGGGCCGGATCCCACGGCAGGGCAGAAATCTCTGCCTGTCTCCAAAGGGTTAACGGGAGCAGGTGACGTCAGTCCTGATCTTTATCCCTCTGAACTGGAACAACCCCACGCCTCCTCCTCCTCCTCCTCCTTGCAGGGGTCTGTGCTCATTGGCTGTTAGAGGGACTTACAGTGAGAAGACTTTTTCAATTAAGTAAAAGGGCAGGGCTGAGGCAGCCAATGACAGCTGCGCCCCAGGATATCTTGTGTCTGTGTGCCGGGCCAGGCAGCATTCCCCGGTTTCCACGCCGTCTGAACCTGCTCCAGTGGTGGCCTCGCACCGGCTCCTGTCAGCATGCTTTGCCTGTGCCTTTATATGCCCGTCCTCGGGGAGGCTCAGACCGAGTTCCAGTACTTCGAGTCCAAGGGGCTTCCCGCCGAGCTGAAGTCCATCTTCAAACTCAGTGTCTTTATCCCCTCCCAGGAGGTCTCCACCTACCGCCAGTGGAAGCAGGTCTGTGCGGAGCGCGAGAGGCAGTGGGTATTTCATCAGTGTCGGAGTGAACGGATGAGTGATGGTAGCGGGTACGCACGCCTCAGTGTGCCCACCATCCCAGGGGAGAGAATATCCCAAGTGTGCCGGTTTTTTCCCCAGCTGTCATGTGGCTGTAGCCGGCTAAAGCTGCATCACTGGAATGACGGGCTCTCATGTGACTCCCAATAAGGCCTGGAATTACAGGGGAGGCACTTGTGGGAGGTGGAAAGGAATTCTCTTGCAGAGGGCTGGGTTCTGAGAAGTACAGGGCCAGGAAGTCGGGGCACAGTCTGGCTGCTGCAGGGCTCTTTCTCTGAGCCTGAGGGGCAGAGGGAGGGGAAGACCCCTCACTGGAGGCCCAGGGCTTGGTGGCTATGGCGGCTGGAGCTGGCAGGGCTGTGCTTTGGGTGAAACAAAGCAACAGGCAGCAGTGGGTGGTGAAGGGAGGTGTCTCTGGAGCAGGAGGTGGCAGAAATCAATTACCATTTTTAAATATGGGGAAACAGTTACAGAGTCTCTGGGGGTCACCTGCCTTGTAAAGGGGCACCCCGACTTCTCCTTTTATCAGATCCCACGCTGTCCCCCAGTGCTCATGATGGCAGTGCAGGTCAGAGGTCATGCAGGGGGTGATGATTTGCATATCCTAGGAGGGAGACGGGGCTGAGGTGGAGGCGAGGACTTAGAATATCTTGAAATCAGCTGTCTGAGCACATCCTTGGGTTGTCTGTATCACGGGGCACCCACACAACGAGGATCATAGATCGCGTTGGAGGCAGAGCCGCCCAGATCCAATGAGCTTCATGCCTACTGCTCCCTCCTCCCTAAGTGACATGGAGATTCTATTTCTGCTCCTGCCATAAATCTAGGATGATAACCTATATGTAATCTGTATCATTCTTGGCAGAGAGCACAAATGTCTGCAGGAAGTTAACGTATCTCCAGAGAGCTGACGGAACTTGTACCAGCATCTGTCTCACATTCCAGCCACACCCCCGAGTTGTTCTTTGGATCATGTTAGGTGACATGGTATCTGTCCAGACCTCCTCCTAGCACCCTTGGTGACTGAGCAGTCACAGCCATCAGGCGATTCAGAGCACGACTGTGACTGGAATCTTTTGAGAGTGCCACCTAGCCTGGTGGTCCATCAATTTCCAAACCCAGTGGCTCAGAAGACATTGCTTTGTGGATAATGTGTGTATTTCTCGCTGAGAGAATTGGGCAACACTGAGGGACTATAACCATCTTACCTAGGAGACTCTCGGTCCTAGTTTTAGGGGTTGCTGGGTTGGAGTGACTCATGTGTGTCCGCCACCTTTCTTGAGATCAATCTTTAGAATGGCAGCCGGATCTCTAGGGAGGTGGCTCTGGAGTCCAACAGGCCTGGCTTGAATCCCGCCTACCACTTCCTAGATGTGTGACCTTGGATTAATTACTTAACCTCTCTGAGCTTCTGTTTCCTTCTCTATAAAGGGGGGGGGGATGATAGTACTACCTCCTAGAGCTGTTTGCAAGGACTCAGTGGGTTACTAGAGGTAAAGCATTTCGTAGATCCAAGTGCTTGTGCTTTTGTGGCAAACTTCCAGTTGCTGAGCATCTAAAACGGACTGCAGCTGCTGAACAAAGCACAGATTTTTTTGAAACCTCACTTCCCAGGAACATTGTCTCTTAAAGCCTCCTTGGGTCACTGAACTATTCCTGAGTAGAGCTGCCCTGCTTTTTAGTGCTGGTTAAGGGAGCTGAGGTTGGTTATAACATCAGGCTCCCCTGAGATCCGAGACAGCCACCAAGCACATGCCCAAGAATAGTTCCTGTGGCTCTTACCACTCCTCCATCGTCCAGGAGTTCTCTCTGGCAGGGTTTCCACCAAGCAGGCATTGGCAGGGGGCAGCCTGCCCTGTCCCTTCTTCACCCTGGTCACACAGTTGTTCTTGGGCCAGTGCCACTTTTAGGGATTAAAAAGAGCAAGCTGCAGAGTTTCTGATGGAATCTGGAGCCCCAAGGCCACCCAACGTTTGGGCAGAGAGCATGTGGGGCAGAGGCCTGGCTCCAGGGACAGAGCTGCAGGGGAGCCAGGCAGCTGACCTGGTGGGACAAGTTGGTCTTCCGAACACATGGGACGAGAAAGCCTCTGTCTGAAGGGTTCCTCCCGGAGGCTCCTTTTCCCTCTTTGCTTGTGAGGGAAGCAAGGTGGGCTCCTGGCTGGGTTCTGGCTGGCCCTTGGGGATCCAGGTGGTGGCCCTGGGAGTGGAGGAGGGGAAGCATCTCGGGTCACTAGGGCCACCTCTGTTCACAGACAAGCAGTTGTCTCCTGGGGTCAGGGCACCACGAGGGACAGGAAAAACTGGGGCGTGAGCTCAAGGACGAAACCTTACTTTTGTTTTCTAGAAAATTGTACAAGCTGGTGACAAAGACCTCGATGGACAGCTAGACTTTGAAGAATTTGTCCATTATCTCCAAGATCACGAGAAGAAGCTGAGGCTGGTGTTCAAGAGTTTGGACAAAAAGAATGATGGTGAGCATTGCCTCCAGAGCCGGTGGCCGACCCCCTCCTGGGCCTCCCCACCGGCCTGGCTCCGGGCTCACAGCCTCTGTTGTTCCAGGGCGGATTGACGCGCAGGAGATCATGCAGTCCCTGCGGGACCTGGGAGTCAAGATATCTGAACAGCAGGCAGAAAAAATTCTCAAGAGGTGAGTGCATAGCCAGCCTCTGTTTCATTTAACAAAAGTGTGACGAAAGAAAGGTTCTTGGACTAACTCTGTGGTGTGTTAACTGTATTGACCTTGTTCTTCGAACTTTGGCTTTTGATGCCTGGAAGGGGTGAATAAGTAACCCCTCCCAGAGATCAGCCGCTCCCTGGGTTCCAGGTCAGCTCTCAGTTGAAGAATCACAAATCACTTGGCAGGGTGCCCAGGCAGCAGTGACCCATGAAGAGAAAGACTAGTGGGGGGATTTTAGTAGATGAAGGGCGAGCCAGGAACACCCTTCTCTGCCTGGTGGTGAGGGGGCAGGGCTCACGTGGCAGCCCTCCATGCAGAGTAATTTCCTCTTAACAGCAGAATCAGTGTGCCGCCGCCCAGGGAAGCCCGTGGGTGAGTGGTGGTCCTGGGGGCCGGCATCCTTGTTGCTGTGCTGGGAAGTCGCACAGCGTAGCCCTGGAGCCACTTCCTGTCCTCCGAGCCTCCCGGGATCCCTGGGGTCCAAGGCCGGCTGGGCAGGGACAGCAGCCTCTTGCCCTCGCTTCCCCGGCGCCATGGGGGCGCGTCCTCATGCTGTGCCGCGCTGTGTGCTTGCCTCACTCTGCTCAGAGCACTTATTTGTGTGTTTCTCCTCTCTCCTCTGCATCCTCCTTTGTCTGTCTGTCAGAATACGAACGGGCCACTTCTGGGGCCCTGTCACCTAGTAAGTATCCGTGTCACCCCGGGGACCGCCTCCCTCCTTGACCTCTGTGCCTGACCAGAGCGGGGTTCTTGTGGGCTGTGACACCCATTTTTGTGCGAAGTGGGGCGTGGAGCCACCCTGCCTTTTCTCCTCGGGGGCAGAGACGCCTTCCGTGGTTTCCTGGTGGCCACGAGCCTGCCCTTGGCTCCCCTGGAGGTGGGAAGTGCGGCTGACAGGTGAGGCCTGTTGACACGTGGGCGACCGTGCGTTTGCCTTGCAGCATGGACAAGAACGGCACCATGACCATCGACTGGAACGAGTGGAGAGACTACCACCTCCTGCATCCCGTGGAAAACATCCCCGAGATCATCCTGTACTGGAAACATTCCACGGTGAGGCCCGCGCACCCGGGGCCTGAAGGCAGGTTCACAGGGTCCCCTCCGCCCAGCGTCAGCCCCCATCCCGGTGGGGGTCCCTCTTCAGCAGCAGGACTGTCCACTCCTCCCCAGGCCCCACGGAGCCTTCCAATTCCCACATGCCGGCCAACCTGAACGGCTCACCCGTTCCCCAAACACAAGGTTCCCTCTGCCTGACACCCTCCTGTCTACATGCTGCCTGTTCTTCAAGGTCCACTTAAAGCACCTCCCTGCTCCTGCTCTTCTCCCAGAGCCAGTGTGATTCCTCCCAGGAGGCAGTAGGGGGCTACTCTATAGAGATCAAATAGCAGGGCTCAAAGTTTCTTGGGTCATTTCTGTTGCAAAAGGATCCGTCCCCACAGCCGCACACATGCTGGTCTTTCACGCCCGGTCAGAAATACACAGAGCTCCACCCCCCAACTGGTAGCGACCACATGACCGCGTCAAACCCCTGCCCATGAGCATCCCTTTCTGCTGGTCCCTGCTGAGCGCCCCTGACTGCAGCCTTACCCACCTGGACTGTGGGCTCCAGAGGGGAGGCCGCCGGCGCTCCTCCTCCCCTGCTCCTGCAGTGCCCTCAGGGGACACCTGGCGTCTTTGTTGGGTGAGACTAAGTGGACGCTCCATGGGGAGGAGGGGGCTGACCCGTGGGTCTGGCCGGCAGCCCCAGGGTCAGAGCCGAGCCGGCTCTGCCTGATGCCGCGCAGGAAAGAGAGTGTTACACAGGCATTGCAACCCTCTCATGTTTGCAGAAGCCTTGCATAATGTTCTGCCAGCGTGATCCAGTTACACATCAGGTTTCAGAAGAATTTTTACCCTTGACTTGATCCTTTCGGTACAGCCAGCCTGGTGATGCTCATCTGACATGCCTTTGTAAGCTATTCTTGCCGCAGCCCCTGGCAGTGTTGGAAAGGGCTGTCCGCCTGGCTTTGTACCCACTTTCTTCCAGCTGTGCTCTAAGATTCTAACCTGGGCCTCTCCAAGGCCACAAAGAGCCCAGAGCTCTGCCACCTTCACAGAGAGAAGGGGAAGGGGCCACATCAGTCTCCCACCCAGAGTCCTTGGCATCCTCACCATCTGTGTGGCCCCTTGGGTTGTCGTCCATTCTAGACAGTGGGAGGTAGTGGACCTAGCTGTCTGCCAGTAGTTCTGCCTCCATCAGGAGCCTGCTTGATTTATCTTTGTTGGTCTTGCTCACAGATCTTTGATGTAGGTGAGAATCTGACAGTCCCCGATGAGTTCACAATGGAGGAGAGGCAGACGGGGATGTGGTGGAGACACCTGGTGGCCGGCGGTGGGGCGGGGGCCGTATCCAGAACCTGTACGGCCCCCCTGGACAGACTCAAGGTGCTCATGCAGGTACGCAGGAGACCGGCCCCCCAGCCGCCTGGTTCCACCTGGGGGCTCTGGGCGGGTTGGTTTCCCTTCCTTGACTGGGACCCTGCTTTGGGCCCATACTTTTTTAACCCAGTAAATTAGATTGGAATTATAGCTCCCACAAGGGTGACATTAGATCCAGGCGTAGGTGACCTTTTGCACGTAGCTGATCTAATTTTATCTGAGGCCCTTACGCCAGGGTCGCATTACAGGACTGCAATGTGGGCAGAAGACCCCAGTGAGAACTGGGGTGTGGCAGGGACCTGATTCCTTAGACGCATCTTATGTAGGCCAGCACACGGGGGGTGGTGCGAGTGGCTGCTCATCTGACCCAGTTACCATTACCTTGATCGGACACCTGACTCCACGTCCACAGGGCAGAGATTAGCTGGACCCACGTCAGGGGCCAGGTTGTGAAATCGGCCTGCATGAGGACACACCGTTAGATTTCAGTGTCGTCTAAATGGTGGCCAGTCACCCCCTTGTCTCCGCGCTTGTGTTCTGGCACTTTTTATGCCAGGAGACCTGCTCAGAGGAGGCGTTATCCTTTCCTGCTCCCTCCGCCCTCCTGGGTCTGTCTGGGTTTGAGCAAGGACTGTGGACGGAAGAATGAGAGCTCCCCTCTCGTGCTGAAATCAGGGAGGCGGGGTGGTCCAGGGAGAGGGGCTCTGGGCCTAGAACTCTACTAAGGTCTGACTCCCCCAGCTGGGTGACCTTGGGCAAATCACTTCACCCCCAGGACCCCATGCCTCTGCGAACTGAGGGGCTCGAACAAACTGCCTCGTCAGTTTGTTCTTCTTAGCCAAACCCCCAGGAGCGCCCGAGAGATCAGAAGCAGTCCTGGGTGAAATGACATAAGTAATAAATAACGGGGGCAGGGACATAGGTTGGCTGTGGTTTGATGGTCATTGAAGCTCATTATGGGTTCAGGAAGCTCACTATGTAATTCTCTATACTTTTATATGTTTGAAAATTTTCTATAATAAAAAGATTTTTCTTCTTCTTTTTTTGTAATTTTAAAAACGAGTCCTTGTGGAGGTGTTTAACATGATGTTAGCACCAGCAGGTGCACAGTAAAGTCTAGTTGGACCACGTTTGATTCTCAGGGTGCTGAGTCAGTCTCAGAATACCAAGAGCGACAGGGCCCGCCTGCCAGCCTCCATCTTGACTCTTCTTCCTGTGGCCGCTGAGCTCCTTCTGACCATTTGTCCTTCCCTCCCCAGGTCCATGCCTCCCGCAGCAACAACATGTGCATCGTGGGTGGGTTCACCCAGATGATTCGAGAAGGAGGGGCCAAGTCACTCTGGCGGGGCAACGGCATCAACGTACTCAAAATTGCCCCCGAGTCGGCCATCAAATTCATGGCCTATGAGCAGGTGAGGACCCAGCTCCCCAGGGAGAGTCACCAGTCGGCAGCTGCTTCCTCAGCTTCCCCTGGAGTGAGATCCCCACCCTGTTGATTCCCCAGAACCTGGAGCCAGTCCTGGTTCCTGAGGGACAGGACAGCAGGGCACGGTGGGCGGGAAAAGGCCTGGGTCTGACCCCAGCTCTACCATCAGTTCCCCTGCAGACCTGTCCCTTCCATTTCTGCGCAGCATCAAAAGTGCCAGGGGTACCAGGTCTCAGCTAAACTCGACCGGCTCCTTGAGGGAGGGTGGGGCGGGAGCAGGGCTGCTGGTCTCTGGAGTTCATCAGTTTATTTGCTCCTTGTTCCAGATCAAGCGCCTAGTTGGGAGTGACCAGGAGACGCTGAGGATTCACGAGAGGCTTGTGGCAGGGTCCTTGGCGGGGGCCATCGCCCAGAGCAGCATCTACCCGATGGAGGTGAGGGCCGCACTGGTCCTGGGGCGGGCAACGTGTGGCGGGGGAGACAAGGGTGAGGAGTGGGCCGTGCTCATGCTAACGTCACTCCTGTTGGGCCTGCAGGTCCTGAAGACCCGGATGGCCCTGCGCAAGACAGGCCAGTACTCGGGCATGCTGGACTGCGCCAGAAAGATCCTGGCCAGAGAGGGCATGTCTGCCTTCTACAAGGGCTACGTTCCCAACATGCTGGGGATCATCCCGTATGCGGGAATAGACCTGGCCGTCTACGAGGTGAGGCCCCAGAGTGCTCAGGCCCCTTGAACAGCAGGAGAGATTCAGAAACTCCTTCCTAGCCATGTGTCAGGACCCCGACCCCCACCAGCTCCCTGCAGTTGTCTCCTTCCCTGATAGGCCACTGGGGACAGCTGGGACAAGGAACAGCAGCAGAGGTTCCTCCCAGACCCAGCTGTTTATTGCACAGGTCTTCTGTCACACTGCCTCCCCCTGGCAGCCCCAGGGGCTTGGCAGGCAGATCTACAGAACACGATGCCCTGGGAGCTTCCTGGGCCCCCAGAAGACTCCAAAGCACAGGAGTCAGGCTCTCTGGGGAGGGAGGGGGGTGCTGTCCCCACCTCATCCCTGCTCCCTGTCCTATCCAGGAATCCCCAGTGACAGCAGAAACAGAGGGCAAGCAGGCCAGGAGCCCAGCAAGCCCCAGGCTGGCCCAGGCCACGCGAATCGGGTTACAGTGGCCTGGTGGATCCCATGTGACGGGAAATGCCTCCTGTGTGGATCCAGTAACTGTCCCCAGCCCCTCAGTCTAACTGCCTCACAAGCTCTTCCTTACTGGGGTTTGCAGCACTTTGGCTCATCCCGGCTCCCCTCTCCCTTCCAGACGCTCAAGAATGCCTGGCTGCAGCGCTATGCGGTGAACAGTGCAGACCCCGGCGTTTTTGTGCTCCTGGCCTGTGGCACCATGTCCAGCACTTGCGGCCAGCTGGCCAGCTACCCACTGGCCCTGGTCAGGACACGGATGCAGGCCCAAGGTAAGGCTGGTCCTAGGCCAGTCAGTCCCCAGGGTCCCATCTCCCCAGGCAGGTGAGGACCTAGGGAGGAGCTGGCGAATGGCCTCTGATGGGCATCCTCTCTCGCTGCAGCCTCCATTGAGGGCGCCCCGGAGGTGACCATGAGCAGCCTCTTCAAACAGATCCTGCGGACCGAGGGGGCCTTTGGCCTGTACCGGGGGCTGGCCCCCAACTTCATGAAGGTGATCCCCGCCGTGAGCATCAGCTATGTGGTGTACGAGAACCTGAAGATCACCTTGGGCGTGCAGTCGCGGTGACGGGAGGGAGGGCAGCTCCACCTGCGGACTCGCTGATCCTGGGCCTGCAGCCCTGGGATGTGTAGCCATCTCATTCTGTGAATGTGCCAACACTAAGCTGACTTAAGCCAAGCTGTGAAAACCCTGGGATGCGCCTGCCCAGGAGAGGGGAAGAGCTGGCAGGCCCACTGGGTTTGTCCTGCTGTCCCTGGCCGACCCCTCTGTCTGTTCCAGGAAGACCCTTGGGCATCCCTTGGGGTCCAGGGCTCAGCAGGACACAGGCTCATGCGCGTGGGGACAGAATGTTTCCTGCAGTGCCTGCCAAGCAGCAAAGCTGGGAGGCCAGCTTAGTTTTTTCATCGTGTCCTCGCGGCCTGACCATTGGCGCCGGCCACCTTCTGGGCTGCTGGGCATCTTCCCCAGGCCCACCTTGCTTCCTTCTTCGCTGCTGTTTCAAATGGTAGAGGGAGGGCCACTAGCCCACTCCCCACGCCCTCCTCACTCCTCTCTCCTCAGTCTGTGGGGAAGAGTTGTTCTACCTGACTTAACTCCGACTTCCTGACCTACAGCCTTGCTGCTGGCTGGGTTGTGCAGGGGAGGGGGAGGAGTCTGGCTTCTGAGCTCCCCCATCTGAGCCCTGCTATTGGCTTCTGGGCTGCCTCTGATGGGCACCTGGATGCGCATGTGCCTGAGGTGGGCAAGGGGCTGCCTGGCATCCTGGCGCATGGCTGCACGGAAGGGCCTCCGCTCCCGGCTGCCGGGGGCTCCTGGGGCTCTGAGCTGGCCCCAGCCTCCATCAGGACTGGCACCAGCTCAGAACCAACTCCCTGTCCCCGCACTGGCATGAGGGCAGCGGGCGTTGTGTTGGAGCAGGAAGGGCAGTTTCTGCTCCAAGTCTGCGTGCCCTGTTGAGAAAGAAAAGGTGTTCAAGGCCTTAATTATGTATTGTTGGGAAAAGGGTTTTGTTCAGAAAGACAAGCTGGACAAATTTGCAAGTTCCGTTCTTCCAGAGGGAAGACAAAGGGAGCCGATGGCTTGGCCGATGCATTAAAGTCTGTTTCTGACGCCCCGGGGGGTTCGTGTCCAATCCCAACGGGGACAAAGTGGGACCAGCCTCTCATTCCACTGATGCAACATATCACACTGCTTGGAGCCTATTTATTTCGTATTTATTTGAACAGAGTTATGTCCTAACTATTTTTATAGATTTGTTTAATTAATAGCCTGTCATTTTCACGTTCATTTTTCATTCGTATTTATGTTCACGGTCGATTGTACCTTCCCAGCACCTGCAAGGTGAGATGGGAAAGGGAGGAGGGGGCCACGGGAGTCTCCCTTCACCCTGCTGTGTCATGTCTGTCCAAAGAAATTCCTCTCGGAACTGGTGACAGAAGAAAGACAAGAAGGTAGAAGGCCCCTGATCCAGGGGAGACAGTCGCTCGGCCGGTCAGGCAGGGTCAGCACCCAGGAAGCCTTAGGATCTGAGGGCTTGACTCGGGGACAGGAAGAGTGGGAGAAATCTCAGCTCTGTTGATGACAGAAGTCCAAATCTTTTCTGGACCAGGGGGATTTCTTTATTCACCCTTTTTGACTGACAAAGGCGGTGAGGTGCCTATCACTGTGAGTTTGGGGTGGGCTCCCCACCCACACCTGTGAAGCGGGCTCCCTCTGTTCCGGGGCCCCCACTGCCTCTGCTCAGTAACGCTGGTCAACATGCAACTTCGCAGTCCCACTTCCGTTGCACT